CGACACTGGACACGAGTTTTATGGTCCCTTTTGAAGGACCGTTCCCAACGTTACTCATTGGGATTTGAGCCTGGGATTTAAAATTAGCCACTTCTCAACTTCAAAACAAAATGCTCCAGAACTACTGCAAATCTCATGGCCCTCAAAAGTACATTGATCGTCTATAAACTCTGAAGGCTGATGAAAGGTTTGACAAAAACGCACATATGTCTGGTCTTTGCGTATTTTAGAATCTTGTCTATTTTATTCTATTTAAATGGCGTGAGATATTTCAACTAAATAACAGTTGTGAATTAATTAAGCATGAAGTTTACTTTTAAACGGCATATGTACTTAGCATTTTGTTGACAAATCGCTTGAATTTGTACTTTTCTTATATACAAAGTTTATTTTTCCATCAAATTTAGAATGTATAATCAAAGCTGCTGCCAGAAAATAAAATTGTTTACCTACCTACCGACCCATCCTGAGAATTTAGGGTCGGGTTAGGGGAAACAAAGATATTTTTAATTCTGGCCTTATCTTGAAGTTTTTATTATCTAAAATTACAGCGCTGCCAACATTCTGAAATAAATAAGAGTAAAGCCTTGTTCGAAGACTGATGATATCCTGCTGATATACATACCAGTTGTTACTGACACTGCAATACTTTAATTGCTCTTGTGGCGCAGTGGTTATAGAGCCACTGCTCTAAAGTCCTTTGGAGGAAACTGTTTAAACTTAATCGGAGCTTGGTAGTAGATAGTGGCATGAAGAAGACCCCTTCCTGCCCAATGGCCCTGAGTTCCGGGTATAGGTATAAGCTTGTGCTAAAATCCACCGGGAAATTTTGGTTTGTCCATTTGAGTAACTTATTACCAGGGGTATAATTAAGGGGGATATTGAACAACTGAATAAATAAAAAAATAAATTGAGTAAGCTGCAGGAATCGGATAATCAAAATGGCACAATTTTCAGTCCTTTGTTTCATTGGAACTTTCCAAAAACGAACAATCTGTGTTCACTTTCACCAACAATTCATTTGTTACATCCCCTAGATCTAGATTCTCCGACCCTTTTTGATATACGTGAAGGATCATCAGGTTATTTAGTCTAGCTTGAGTCATAGTACCGACCAAAATAAACATTATTGTTGTTGCATAAGTTTTTCTTTTGTCATGATTTTACTTTCTTGATCCTGTGATATGACTTTTTTCTGCGGTTTGGGAACCAGTTGAAAGTCTCTGCTCTATATTTACCTGAAAATACAGATACACTAAATTTTACAATATCTTTTCTTTGCCATTCTGAAGCATGTACTATCGGAGAAAAGGTGTTTCGGGATCAAAGACAGTTGTTGTAACTTTCAAAAAACCTGAACGGATCCTAAATGTCACAAATTCTGAATTTGCTGTATATGTTAAAATTTTGATTTCCTAATCTTCACAAGTCAAATATCGAATGTAAGGCGGATGTTTTAAAATATCGGTATCAGGGGTCCGTTTTTACAAAAAAAAAAAAAAAAAAAACTTATTTTCTGAAAATATATCTTTCCATAGTAATCGGAATTGAGGCTGACAGCCTGATTAAAAAGTAGGTTCCTTTTCCTGTCACTCACATGAGGCTTACAAAGTCTTCGAGACGTTATAAACAATTGATCTTAAATAAAATTAAATGCATAAACACAGAACGATCGGTTGATTGCTACAAGTAAAATACATCCTTTTTGTCCACTCCGACTAAATATAAATAGGTGGTCTTGCACGGTGATTTGATTGGCAGAGAAAGCTAAGGCATTGATGAAATTCATCTATCCGATAAAACCAGATCACAGAAAGAACGGGGTTTACAAATTAAAGGTTTTGTTAAAGAACGACAAGATAAAGGCATTGGTAACCACAAAGATACATGCACGAAATTATTAACGTAAATTGCTGTAAATCTAATTTGCAAGCCATTTTTAGATTTTATTCTTTTGGTTAAAAAATAACTTTATAAAGAATTTATCAAAAAAAATAGAATTTAGAAAAAGTGGTAAGAACTCTAATTGCCCGAGAACGATTAGTCTAATTATCTACTTGTCCAGATATATGTAAAAATATATAGATAAGCAACACTTTTTATTCTGCAAACTGGTCAACTATGATAGTTGAAAACCAACTGGAAAATTATCTTCATTGGTAAGGCGATCAATTCATGTGACCCTAAAGGGCTTTTCAGTATAATTGATTACTACTAACAGAATTTATATTATCTCACGTATCTAATACGATTCGACATAATTTTGTTTCGTACATTATGTCAGAAGCGCGTGATTTTGTTTATCTACAGTCAATAACTGGTGCAACAGATATGTTTATCTACAATCAATGCAAGAGATAACCAGACTATGTGTTTATGACGTGTTTTTTTTTCCAACCGAATTCTTTCTGTGCCTTTGGTGAGTGTCTTATTGTACTAAAAAATAAGCTTCAAAAGTATAATTTATTCTCACAAATAACTGTTTATATAATGATGAATCTCTTAACTGTTTCCCTGACTGCACATGATGTGACGAAAGCATCTTCCAAAAGAGTCAAATATTTCATTAGAATCTGATTCACTCGTATTACCTATTGCTATCTGTTTTTAAAATTATTTTTATTTTGTCATTTTAAAGGTTTGATAAATCTTATTAATAAAATTAACATATAATAATATTCAGATTTTCCTTACGTACGAGGGTTGTTAGAAAAGTTCGCGGACAAGTTCAATTGTGAGCGCGCTATTTCCACGAAACCGGTCAAACTTTCCAGATAGAATATTTACCTTTTTTTCAATAAATATACAAGAAATTTTTGCTCTACGGTGATTATTAAAAAATATACAGAATTTTTATTTTGATAAAACTTGCTTCACGGAGCATGCTACATTTTGGCACGTTTACATCACAAAGACTATTTATTAAAGTTAAAAATTGCACAATTGTAGCGCAAAGAGATTTATGATATTAAACCTGCCGCTAAAGTATTAATGAAACGTCACTGGGAGAAATTTTGAACTAAATTGGAGGGTATATGACTGTTTTATTGCCGTTTGTATATGATATATATAAACACAGCCAAAAATCGTATACGTCATTGAGGGTATATATTTATATATAAATTATGTTTGCAGACTGGAAAATGTCTAAAAAGAGATTAAAATGTTCAAGATGCTGCCTGGAATTTCCTACACCTACAAAGGAGAAGTTTTCAAATGGTTGTAGCTTCATAAGAATGGATGGATTGAAAGATTAACTCCAGCGATACTTCAGTACCCCTGTATCGCATGGACGTTGTGTTGCGCCTATATGGTTTTGCATAGTTTCCATACCTGATCGATAAACTGATTAACCTCATAAACTTTTTTTAAGATCTCAATAATATTCGAATCAGTACAAAAGACATTGTAGATGGAAAGTAACATGTCTTGATATAGATATTCAATTTTAAAGTAGAAAAAAGATCAGAAAAATCTAAAGATTTACAGAACTGCGACAAAGGTTAACGGGTTGAAATCTGGTTGTTACGTCGCCTTACGTCAAGTGATTGCTCCGTGAATCCCATAACCTCATAGTATAAATCGTTGTAAATTTTCAAGATTTTTTTATATGGACCTGATTTTTTACATACCAATAAACAAAATGTAGGAATTTATTCAGACACAAGTCATACTTCACAGTACACAATGGATTTTCCGTAATTCAATGTGTCCGCGAACTTTTCTAACGACCCTCGTATGTAGCCACAATACCCTCATTAACTGTTTACAAGATTTATATCTCTAAGCAAGAGAATGAACTACGCATCTTCAATTTCTAAAACGAAGTTAGTTACTGACAAACAAGTAAAAGGAGGATAAATCAGGCTGAATTTAACGAAGGATCTCAAGGAGAGATAACTAATAGTATCAAATATCAAAGTCCATTAAACAATACAAGAAGGATAGGGCGACAACAATCAGTATTTAGTCTCAAATCCATAAAAGAGCAGAGCATTCTTTGTGATTACTAGTAGATCTTTTTACATTTTATATGGAAAAACTTCTATTAATAATTTAAGTGAAATTGACAATTTGTTCAAGATATATTTAGGTTTGAATGAATATATATATTTAAGGAATGAATTAAATAGCAACCCAAATTATACTGTATAACCTGGGTTGGGGCAGTTTACGCTTTAAAAACCTCGAAGCTGTTTATAAAAAAGCGTAAACTGCTCCAACCCAGGTAATAGAGTATAATTTGGGTTGCTATTTAATTCATTCCTTATAATTTAATTTTCAATCATTTTGAATAAAGAACAAGACAATATATCTCTTTAATATAAAACGCCTTCAAATTGTTCATATTTCAAACGTAACGTCAAGCGGATTGATACGATTTTGACGTAAGTCATTGTGACGTAAGCAAACCAGATTATACAATTTAGATTAATTTTTATCCAATTAAATGACGCGTTACAATCATAATTAAATTATTTGAAAATGAATTCGTATATTTCATTTATATATATTTCTATTTAAATACAATAAACTCAACAAAGACACGACGCAGATCGTCAACCCCCATGCATTAAAATTTTTTGGAGAAAACACTGGTAAAAGTCCAGACTGTATGCTACATTTCCTTACACTTGTCATTCATGTCAAGCACTTAAGCCTTTATGGCCCTTTAGGCCTTTGATTATTTTACACGTTCAAGGGATGAAAATAAAATGTCAGATTACTAAAGTGTAGTATTTGACATAACAGAGTTTATTTTATTAAAAATAAAAATTTAAAAGAACATCATTTTTAGAACATTCGATATTTACCAGGACAAAAAAAATCCGTTATACGGAAAGGTATTGAAACACTAATTAAACACATGAAAAATATTCCATACCTTTATATCTCAACTTTCAAATTATTTTAATCATTATTGTTTACCGTACATTGTGTCATAAGCGCGTGCTTTTGTTTATCTACAGTCAGTAACTGGTACAACAAACATGATTATCTTCAGTCAGTGCAAGTAAAAACTGGACTATGTGTTCATGAGGGTTTTTTTTCCAAACGAATTCTTTCTGTAAATTTGGTGAGTTTCTTATTGTACTTGAAAAAATAAGCTTCAAAGGTATTATTTACGCTCACAAATATTTTATATATAATATGAATCTCTTAACTGCTTCTCTGACTTCACATGATGTGACGCAAGCAACGTCCAAAAGAGTAAAATATTGCATTAAAGTCTGAGTCACTCGTGTTACCTATTGCTTTTGGTTTGAGTTAGCTTCCTATTATATCTGTTTTTAACTTAAATCTGTCATTAAGGTTGTATAGATCTTATTGATAAAACTTACGTATGTTGATATTCATATTTTCCTTATTTATATAGCCACAATACTGTGTACAGGGTTATTTTCGCTCTTTCACCCAGTCAATAAGAAATTATACTGTATTCTTCGAATTCGCCTCGCCCAAATGATAGTAGGGCGAAAGGGGCACAAATATAACGGGGGCTAAAATTTCCCTATTTACAGTAACCTCATCAACTGTTTACAAGATTTATATCTCTAAGCAAGAGAATGAACTAATCGTATTAAATTTCTAAGATTGATTGTATAATGTTTAACGTCCCTCTCTGGAATATTTCTTTAATATTGAGACGTCACCATTGCCGGTGAAGGGCTGAAAATTTAGGCCTATGCTCGGCACTTGGGGCATTTGAACTAGAAGGGATCTTTATCGTGCCACACCTGCTGTGACAAGGGGCATCGGTTAATACGGTCTCATCCGAAGGACTGTATTCTGTTATGTAACATCATGTCTGTCACTATTTAACACCAACGAAAGAAAATGAGATTAAGCCCCGCCCATTCTGTGATGTAAGCGGTCAATTATCTCTGCGAGCGGTTCAACATCTCACTAAGCGGTCCAACGTCAATTTTGTAATGCCCGCTCAGCAAAACATTTTAAAAGTTAAATTTTTTTCGTATAGATTTGTAACGGAACAAATTTTTAAAGGTATAACAATGTCATGTTTTATATCTAAATACAAACTTGTGAATTTGTCAGACTTAAATTCATCTCATTAGTTATGCACATCTTTGAAACTTTCGAAAATATTTCACCATGGAACGATCTTTTTAAAAGAAATCTCTGATCATGAAGAAATTACATATATGACAAAAGAACATCTTAATAGCTGAGAAAGAACACTAATGGAATATCCTCCAAATCATAGAGAAGAATTTATGAGAGAAACAATTGTCTGTTGTCTTACCTTTAACATATATTCATGAAAGTGGCAAGCTATTGAAAATAAGTTGATGAAATGATGACATCAACAGTATTGATGAAGTCAACATTTTCTTAGTATGATGCCTGCTATTGTAGTATTATGAAGTAATTAGTCAAAGTTCAAGTAATAAAAATAAAACTGTGAAATTACTAATGTAATATATTATTTGCATCATTTTATATACATATGCAATTCCATTGCTAAGTCGATACGGTATATCATGGTGAGCTTGAAATAAAAGATACCACAGAGTCCGACACTTCTGCTTCATATTTGGATATTTCGTTTGCAAAAGACGCTAATGGTAATATAACAACGAAGCTTTATGATTAACTTGATGACTTTAACTTTTCCATCGTCAACTGCCTTTACTTATGCAGCAATATATCTTTATCACCTGCATACGGACTATATATATCTCAGTTAAGTCGATACGCAAGAGAATGCTCTACGTATGAACAATTTCTTAAACGAGGTAAATTATTGACAATCAAGTTGATGAAACAAGAATATCAGAAGTCTCGTTTAAATGCATCATTTCGTAAGTTCTATGGTGGATACAATAACCTTGTATGCAAATACAATTTATCATTGAGTCAAATGCTGACTGACGTTTTTCATTCCAACAGTTAGTCCATTATTTATACACTGAATTGACGACAGATTTTTTCCTGATCATGACAACGAGCACACGGCGGTTATGAACGGTCGGCAGCGGATGCTCACTCCTCCATGGCACCTGATCCCACCTCTGATATTTCGGAGGTTCGTGTTTGCTCTGCTCTCATTTTGTATATTTGGTTAATGGACATTGAGATTAAATACTGTTCGTTAGCTCCATATCCTTCTTCATGCAATAATATTCCTTTTCTTTGTATAGAAAACACAAGGAGGAGTTTGTGATTTTAGAACATTTCATCATATAAGAATACGATGTCGTTATCGAAGTACACATCGACACCAGAGACGACAAACACCGCTCGGCTGGCGAGGCTCATACTGGGACCATGTACTGATGTATTACGTGAAATTCTTAAAAAGGAAATTCCACCGTCTGATTTATCCAAGAAAGTCAAAGAATGGACTGATGATTTTAAGAAAAACAAAAAACGCAACCCTCTTAATCCATCACAAAATGACATCATTTTCCCCTCACTAACAAATCAGTATTGGGGAGACTATTCAGACCTTGATATATCTATCTTGTACATCATTCTTCGGAATGTCAGTAAAATACCTCCACATTCTAAAGGTTGGGGCAAGAACCCAGACCCCGCTGATAGAAGTGTCGCCGCAAATATCGAACGGATTCGTCTTCTTCGGAACAAATACTACGGCCATTCTGCCGATATATTTCTTTCTGACTCTAAATTTAGTCAGGAATGGCGGAACATCCGGGACATCGTTGTTGAATTAGAGCGCCATCTAGGGACGTCTACTGTCTACCAGGAGTCTGTGAAAGAAATAAAAGCATGTTCCATGGATCCTGAACATGAGCATAAATACATAAATCGACTTGGGGTTCTTGAAGATCTACATTCATCTGTGTCTAAATTTTCAGGTATATATACTTTGAAATAGAGGCTCATTTTACTTAAATACTGGTTATTTTGAATTATTTTATACTCTCTTCAAAGAATATGGAACAGAAAGTAGCAACAGATTTCTTTGCTTAAGATTGTGAAAAGTAGATCTACTGCTTATGTTTCAACTGGAAGGATTGGTTATTTGTTTTTAAGTAAAGCTAATGAGAAAAAAATATGTGTGATAAAATTCCTTACATTATCCAAGCAGAGTTGAGTTTTTATACCTTTATCGTTTGTTTTTAGAAAAAAAAAACAAAACAGCTTTCCTATTAAATTCTCCTTTCCATATTTACATTAATTTAAACTCTCAAATGTTCAAAATCGATTTTAAATTACACTATTTTGAGTGTATTAAAATAAATATATATTTTCAGAGAAGCTGAGTGACATGGAAAAGAAACTAAGTTTGCGCATTGGTAAGTGATGAACTTGTTGATCATGTTATCTCAGAACATCTCAATGCATATTTCTCTGTGATTAATATTTCGTATATTGCCTTGATTTTTTTCAGATCCAAATCTTGAAAAAGAAATTGGTATGTATATGTTCATATTGTCCTCAGTTAAAGATTTATCAAAACGTATATACGTTTATGATACCCAATGGCTGGGTTTTATTTTAATAGCCAGGACGAATAACTGACGGAGATTTTTCATCACTCAAACTTTGTCTCCAATGCCATTATATATAAAAAGGGTATATATATATATACGGCATCAAAATCTGTTTTCTATCAAAGAAATCTAACAGATTATTAACTGAATTTACATGTACGATTATTTGCATCTTATTTTAATTTGGGGAATAACTATCTTCTAATTTGGTATTTGCGATCGTTAATGCTGATTTAACGGTCGCAAACTGAGTTTTACCGGCGACGCGTAAGTGGAGCCGGTAAAACGGATGTTTGCGACCGTTAAATCAGCATTAACGGTCGCAAACACCAAATTAGAAGATCAGTTATTCCCATTCTTATGCAATCCATGCATTTTGTTTGTTGTTAACATTTTATTTTGATGAGTTTCGTTATACAAATACGTCACGGAGCATTGTGTTTTTGCGTCGCTCTTTTATGACATCACAATTAAAAGCTTATATGCTTGTTTATCAGTGCATATAAGCTTATCAAAACGTGTTTTACAAAACAACTGCACTAGAATATGGAATGAATTTAATAGCTGTCCATTTTATACGGTATAAACTGGGTTGGGGCAGATATGCTATCGCGGTATATAAAAAAGCGTAAAATGTTGCAACCCAGTTTCTATCGTATAAAATGGGTAGTTTTTAAATTTATTGCTTATAATTTTAATTTTCCTTCATTTAATGTAAGAAAAAAAGATCATTGTTCTAAAAAATGACTTCTATTTGTAAAAAAAAAAAAATTGAATGTAACGCCGCAGATTGATACGTTTTTGACGCAAGTCATTGTGAGGTAGGCAACACATTCTATACGTTATAAAGTAATATTTTTATCCAATCAAATACAGCGTTAGAACAAGAATTAAATTATTGTGTTGAAAAGGCATCTTTAAGAAAACGAAACAGTGACCAAAATAATTGTTAAAGTAGGATGAATAGGAGGTGGTCACATGCAGAATATGAGTTAACCATAAAATTTCCATTCAAAATTTTTTTAGAGATGTAGGCTATCGAATACAAATTTCTGTAGTTTGCTGGGGGAAAATGTAGAAAACACATAGAGACCGGTAAAGTCTTTATTATAATGTAACTCGTACATATTAGTAAACTTCATAGAAATCAACAGTATTAAAGTAAATTGATAAGATATTGTCTATTCTCTCTCAAAAATAAGAGAAGATTTTAGAAAAGGAAAACGGTAACTACCTGTATAATGTTTCCAAAATCTTGAAAATCCTAAAAATTGTTCCATTTGTAATAAACAAACATATAAAGCTATGTATCTGGGGAGGCAAAATTAAAAAATCTAACCTTTTCTGATAGAAATAGGATATAGGTTAAAGCAAGCATGATGTAAACATACTGAAATATATTTTACAGCTAAGATTAAAAAAAAATAACTAATTAAAAAAAAATGTTTACATCTTCAACACATTAGTCATCTAGGTTTGAAAGGGTCATGCTATTCCTACTTAATATATTTTTGTATTGTCCAAGATATTTTAGAATATTACTCGTAAAAGTAATTAAAATTTTATCTGAATACAACTATAGCTACTAAAATGTTTATTTACACGCGATTATCATTATGGCATTTCTTATTTTTCTTTGGGCTAAATGACAGAAATAAAGCCACAAGTACAGCAAAAATTTTACACAATATTTTTACGTCAATGCTAAATAAATTTTACTCTGAAAATACAAAAGTTAGAACTGTTCGGTAGCAATACACTAATAATTTTTATGTTCAATTTTTAAAACAAAAATATCATAATCAGTTTTATTTAAACTCATGATAGAAACAACAAGGGTTATGGTCAACAGTCATCATAAGGAAACGGAGAAAATCCTTGTTAAAACCCGGGCATTTGACAGAGCAAAAGAACTGTTAGAGAAAAACGGACACGTGGTGATTAAAGGCATCCCTGGAGCTGGGAAAACTACATTAGCCAAGTACTTGTTGAAGATTGCCATTGAGGGAGGGAAACGTCCTCTTCAAGTATTTAAGTTCTCCAGACTCTATGGCAGGGTTTCACCGATTGATAATTTAGCGATATTTATTGATAATGCATTTGGGGAATTCTCCTTTTCAGTGAATGATTTAAATGAATTTTTGAATAAGAAGGAATTGATAGAATCTCTTGTGAAATCCAAGAATAATGAAATGGGAAATGTACTCATTGTGACTGTCAGAAACGATATTTTTAAGGAAATAACCGCTAAACAGAAACATGCCGCTCTACTTTTTTCATCAATGACTGATTTATCAACTGGTGAATATGCTTTGGAAACTGAGGAGCTCGTTATGTTTCTAGAAAATTATAACCTTCCAGGAAAAACAAAAGAAAACTTTAAATTAAGACAGGCCGAGGTACCCTGGGGCTTTCCACAATGTTGCAGACTGGCGCGTGAAAATCCTGCTTTCGGAAAAGATCTTTCAAATTTTCTTCGTTGTCCCTCAATTTTCCTAAAAAAATATCTGGAAACCCTGATTAGAGAAAGAGCTGTTAAAATGTCAGTGCTTATATACCTTCTGTTGAAAGGTGGAAGTGTGGAGTCCTCACTGTTCTCTGTTCAAAAAGATAGGAAAATTAAATCCATTGCATTAAAAATGCTTGAAATCAGTCCCCGTTTACTTGGTGAATTCCACGAAAGTGTAAAGGTTTTTGAAGGTTTTTTAACAATGTACGATAAAATTAACGATTTGTATTCCTTTTCACATAGCTCAGTACAAGATATTTTATTCCATACTCTTATTGTCACTCTTCCCGAGGAAACAATTCTAAATTGTCACCCTGTCTTGCTTCAAAGATTGACAACAGCTGAGCATCTGAAAAGCAGAAACATTTTGGTTGATGCAGAATTGTTTGCAATTATTTCTAGTAGAATAGTTCAAAGTTTGAGAGATAGATCACCTGATGAATATGAATCCATTTCTTTTTTAGATTTATGGAAAGACGAAGCATTTTTTGAATATGTCTTAAAAGATCAGGTCTGTAGTGACCGCTTTCAGGAAAGTTTTGATTCAAATGGTAACTCATTGCTAGTGCATTTTGCAAAATCAGGTCAAATCGCTTGGGTGCAACACTTGTTACAACGTAGTTGTGATAAAATTCAAAAATATAGATCCCTGAATGCCGCGAGTAGCAAAAATCATGTACAAATCGTAAATCTGATTTTATTAGAAGATATAAAATGTGATTTAAATGCTTGTTTCCACGCAGTACAAAGTGGTAATTTAGATTTGGTATTCAAAATCTGTAAGTCTGTAGATTTGAGTCAAACTTGTTTATCAATTGTAAGGGCTAATACTTATCACAGTTTAATCCAAGAGGCTTGCGACTCGGGACAAACTCATTTAGTACAGCCTTTGATTGAAAAATATCCTATTTTGAAAGATATTAAATCTAGAAATGGCGACACTGTGTTGCATTATGCATCTAAAATTGGTGATATCAGTATAAGCAGCTATCTAGTAGATAATTACCCAGAATTAATTGACGTCAAAAACAAGGACGGGTTCACAGCATTATATTCTGTATGTGCAAATGGCGACACAAAACTGATTTCTTTTCTAATAGAAAAAGGGTTTGATATCAATGCTTTGACAAACGATAATGTAAGTGTCCTTCATATTGCTTGTTTATGTGGTAACTATGATGCATGTGCCTTTCTTGTCACTAATTATCCACAATTACTGGACATAGATTTCAATGGAAGATTCACCGTGTTACAAGTTGCATGTGTATCTGGAGACAGAAGATTGATTTCTTTTCTAATAGATAAAAAAATGGATATTAATGCACTGACAGATAATGGAGAAAGTGCCCTTCATATTGCATGTCGTAATGGTAATTACGATGCATGTGAATTTCTTGTCACTTATTATCCGCAATTAATTGACGACATAAACAACAACGGACACACAATATTACACTCTGCATGTGAAAATGGAGACAGAAAATTAATTTCTTTTCTGATAGAAAAAGGTTTAGATATAAATGCACAGACAATTGATAGAGAAAGTGTCCTTCATATTGCATGTCGTAATGGTAATTATGATGCATGTGAATTTCTTGTCACTAATTATCCACAATTAATTGACGTCAAAGACAATGACGGGTACACAATATTACATGTTGCATGTGAAAATGGAGACAGAAAGTTAATTTCTTTTCTGATAGAAAAAGGTTTGGATATTGATGCACAGACAAATAATGGGAAAAAGGTTCTTAATATTGCATGCTTAAATGGTAATTATGATGCATGTAAATATCTTTTCAATAAACGTCCACAATTAATTGACGTCAAAGACAATAGTGGGTACACAGTATTACACTATGCATGTGCAAATGGAAGCATGAAAATTGTTTCTTTTCTGATAGAAATAGGCTTGGATGTTAATGCATTGGCGGGCGATGGAAAAAGTGTCCTTAACATTGCATGTTTATATGGTAAGTATAATGCATGTGAATTTCTTGTCACTAATTATCCACAATTAATTGACGTCATAGACAAAAGAGGGTACACAATATTACACTGTGCATGTGAAAGTGGAAATAGAAAGTTAATTTCTCTTCTGATAGAAAAAGGTTTGGATGTTAATGCACTGACAAATGACGGAGATAGTGCCCTTCATATTGCATGTAGTCATGGTAAGTATGATGCATGTGAATTCCTTGTTACTAATTATCCACAATTAATGGACGTCAAAAACAATGATGGTTACACAATATTACACTCTGCATGTATAAATGGAAGCATGAAAATAATTTGTTTTCTGATAGAGAAAGGTTTGGATGTTAATGCACTGACAAACAATGGGGAAAATGTCCTTCATATTGCATGTCTCAGTGGTAGGTATGAAGCATGTGAATTCTTTGTTTCCTATTATCCAAATTTAACTGACGTCAAAAAACATTAGAATGTGCACAGTATTACATTCTGCATGTGTAAATGGAGACAGGAAATTGATTTCGTTTTTGATTGAAAAGGGTCAGAATATTCATGCTTTTAGAGATGATGGAAAAAATGCCCTTCATATATTCATATCGTTAGAATGATGCATGTGAATATCTTATTACTAATTTTCCACAAATAGCCGAGGTCAAGGACAATAAAGGGTACACAGTATTACACACTGCATGTAAGAGCGGAGATAAAAAAAAATATTTCTTTTCTGATAGACAGAGGTTTAAATATAAATGCACTGACAAATGATGGAGATAGTGTCCTTCATATTGCATGTTGCCATCGTAGGTATCTTGCATGTGAATTTCTTGTCATTAAATATCCACAATTAACTGGCGTCAAAAACAATAAAGGGTACACAGCGTTACATTCTGCATGTGTTGACCGTGGAGACAGTAAACTTATTTCTTTTCTGATAGAAAAGGGTTTTGATGTTAATGCATTGACAAATGATGGGGAGAATGTCTTTGATATTGCTTGTTCCCATGGAAATATTGATTTATGTACATTCATTGGCACTTCTTATGCACTATTACGTCAGTCAAAAGATTATTCTGGTATTACTCTTGAACATGTTGCATCATAAATGGGAATCTAGAATCTCGAGGGGTTATCAAAAAGTTTGTGGACTAGCGCCAGAAAATTAAGACCGCTTTATGTACAATAATGAATGAATGAATGAATGAAAAAAGAAATATCTAGTAAGTATGATATTTTCTATCTAAACAACAAACCACAAATCATAAATGTTATTCTTTAATAAATTAATGTTTTTGTAAGGAATGGTATATCCAGGTGACGCAACTTTGAAAATGACGTTTTTTTTTACCTATGTGTAACTGAGAAAAACTATTTTGATATGAACATTTGACATTTAAAATCCCGTTGATTCAGGTGTATTGGGACACTATTGTTCCATAAAATATGGAATTTTTACCTCATTTTGGAAGTTCCATGAAATTTTATCGGGAATTTTACATGGAGTATCCAAACAAATATTGCTTGAAAATGAGGTAAAAAAATATGTGACCTAGGAAATTGTTTAACCAGGCTACGGAGAAATAATGTGCGTTAGAGTATTTTTTTAATGCCAAATAGATTCAGAGGGAAAAGGAGTAAACAGTTAATGCCGATTTGTAGTCAATGTGTGAAAAATCAATCACGTCAATAAATGACGTTGTTCATGTCTTGTAGATATTTAACTCCATAAAGCAAAACAAAAAATCGAAATCTTTCCCTTGTATAAATCCATTTCGAATATTGTGTTATTAAAAGGATGTTCATGACATTTTAAATCAAATAAACAAGACGGATTAAATTTTAACCCAGCTCCAGGGAAACTCATCAAAATAAGTCTATAAGATGGAAGAAGCATACATTAAAAAACAATGATGTTGTCACGTTTCAAAACTTGACACATGATTATAACAAGTGATTTTTGGAAATAATGAACGTATAAAGCTAATTTTTCAACATTTCTTTATTTTTTTATGTTTTATGTTCCATGAAAATTTTTTAAGCTCAGACTACATAGTACTAATTTTATTGCCATAGTCCACGAACTTTTTGATAACCTCTCGTATTTAAGTATTTAGTAAATATTTTGAATGTACATTGTATGGCAATTGATGAATTGTATAAAAACAATATCTGTTTCTTAAAAAGGATTTAAATTCCATTTCGTGTTAATTATTTTTAATTATTTTTATATTAATGTTTTATGCATAATTGTATTTGTTTTATTGCTCATAGACGTTTATTATCCTTTTACCCCTGTGTGTGTATGTTTATCTGTCAGTACGTCTTATCGCAAATGCTTTAAATTTTAGCACACTTTTTGTTTTGGAATGCCATAATGTGGGATTTATTTTTGTTCGAATCCGATGTCAACTCCCTGTTTATCTGTATGACTGTATGTCCAATATGTAATTGCTGGAAATTTTAGTACACTTTTTGTCGAGGTATGCAATAGTACGTTAATTCAATGTTTTATGCTGAATAATTGTATTTGTTTTACCCTTTTCCTTTTATTCTTTTGTGGTTTACAAATAAAACATGTTTCTAACACCTTTTGAATTTACATGTTTATTTTTTAAGCCGGATTACAATATAAAGTGCATGGTGCAAAGTGGCATGATTAAAAATTAGATTTAAATAATTTGTATAATTTTATAGTGTTTTTTTCTCTGTGATCGTAAATTATATCATAAATATAGCAAAGCAAAAAAATTAATATTTAACACCTAAAATGTATGTTGTGCTCTTACTCTTCATCTTTCCTATCAATTATTGTCAAGTTGATCATGTCATTGCTAGTTTTGTTAAAAGTTAAAAATAGCTATCCAAAGCCAATTATTTTGAAAAGGTACAAAGTACCGATAGTATGATCTTCTAATTATTGGCCGAACCCAATATCCATTTTGAATTCTGTCGAAGATTTTAGAAGACGCTTGGCAAATTATGAAGGGTAAGACCTGGACACATTAAATGTTTTAGTTGACTAAAAAAAATGGAAATAACTAACAATGATCAATCTCAAAAATATCCAAATATACAAATATGTAGAAGACTTAAACACAGATCCAATGGGAATTCAGTATTAATCACGTCAGCCAACATACGATCCAGTTCCATGTTATTTTGCTAAGATCATTATAAAGACTAATGGATGTATAAAATGGTGAATTTGAATGAGGACCGTTGATATTTATTTACTATTAATATATCTGTCAGAGCTAGACTTCGTCTTAAGATTGATCTTGCCAGATTTCGTCTAAAAATTGATGATCATATTTTAATGCTTTTCTTGAGTAATAAATGAGTTGGGAGATGTTAACGCTATATGCAGGTGACAGTTGAAAAACACGACATATTTTAATTTGCCGTGTTTTATTCATAACCAGATATTAAATAGATTTGAACACTATTGTCGTATATACTAACATATTTGACAAGATCTTAAAGAAAGTTTCCTATAAGTTTTGCGTTAGGTCTCTTAAAGATTATGAAATTACAAATTTTATAGGCAATACAACAAATCAAACAGCAGCAATAAAAAAAGTTCCTGTTAAACTAAAATCAAACCCTTGTCAGATTTACACTGATTTTTGACAGTATATAGACTTTATGAAATTTTACGGAAATGAAAAAAATCAAACCAGCAGGGACGTTGCAGCAATGTATAATATTTTTTGTAAAACCACAGCTCGGACTGAAATTAACTTAAAGGCAAATGTTTAAAAGACTTCAAAATATGAGTATCAAAAGGCAATATTTTAATGAATAAAGGAGATTGTGATTTTTTAAGCCATACACTCATTGCACTTTCATAGGTGAAAAGCATTCTACAGTTTTTCTATCAGTGACCTTGAAAAAAAGGGTTAAAAATATTCAATCAATGCATGTCCATAGTCAGAAATTCCGTCTGTCCATTACACTTTCATAGTTGAAATGTTCTCACATTATTAACTTCTTCTCAAGAACCACTTGGCCAATTATTACCAAACTTGGTTCAAAGCATCATTTTGTGATGGGAAGTTATAATTGTTTAAACGGACAACTCTCTTTCCAAGGGGATATAATCAACAAAAACGAAAATAGGATGGGGTTATTAAAAAATCTTCTCAAGTATCAGTTGGCCAGAAAAGCTTAACGTTATGTGGAAGCATCCTGGGGAAGTGTAGATATAAAATTGAAAAAATCATGACCCCCGGGGGGGATAAGGCGGACCACAATAAGGAATCCAAGTTTTACATAGAAATATACAGGATAAGTTTTTGAAATCTTCTGAAGAACTACTGGACCGTGAAAGCGGGCACAAGTGTGGATTCTAAATTGTAAAAATAATTACCCCTAGGGATAGGGGGTACAACAGGGAATTCAATTTTTATATAAAGATATACTTTTTGAGTAACTTATTACCAGGGGGTATCTTTAAATTAGGGGGATATTAAACAACTAAAGAAAAAATAAATAAATTGAGTAAGTTGCAGGAATTGGATAAAAATTCATTTGTTACATCCCCTAGATCTAGATTCTCCGACTCTGTTTGGTATACGTGAAGGATCATCAGGTTTTTTAGTCTAGCTTGAGTCACAGTACCGACCTAAGTAAACATTATTGTTGTTGCATAAGTTTTTCTTCTGTCTTGATTTTACTTTCTTGATCCTGTGATAAAACCTTTTTCTGCGTTTGGGAACCGGTTGAAAGACTCTGCTCTTTATTTACCTGAAAATACAGATACACTAAATTTTACAACATTTTTTCTTTGCCATTCTGAAGCATGTACTATCAGAGAAAAAGTGTTTCTGGATCAAAGACAGTTTTAACTTTCAAAAAACCTGAGCGGATCCTAAATGTCACAAATACTAAATTTGCTGTATTTGTTAAAATTTTGATTTCCTAATCTTCACAAGTCAAATATCGAATGTAAAGCAGATGTTTTGAAATATAGGTATCAGGGGTCCGTTTTACAAATAAACTTACGAGTAAAGCCAAAAACTTTAGATGATTGTAAAATTTTGCAAAATTAATCATTGTTTTTGAAATTGTTTCTGAAAATTTATCTTTCCATAGTAATCGGAATTGAGGCCGACAGTCTGATTAAAAAGTAGGCTCCTTCTCCTGTCACTCGCATGAGGCTGATAAAGTCTTAGAGACGTTATAAACAATGGATCGTAAAAAAAATTAAATGCATAAGCACAGAACGATCGGTTGATTGCTACAAGGAAAATACATCTTTTTTGTCCACTCCGACTAAACAAAGAAGTATATAAATAGGTGGCCTTGCACGGTGATTTGATTGGCAGAGAAACCTAAGGCATTGATGAAATTTATCGATCCGATAAAACCAGATCACAAAAAGAAAGGGGTTTACAAATTAAAGATTTTGTTAAAGAACGAAAAAATAAAGGCATTGGCAACCACAAAGATACATGGACGAAATTATTAACGTAAATTGCTGTAAATCTAATTTATAAGCCATTTTTGGATTTGATTCTTTTGGGTAAAAAATAACTTAAAAAAGAAGTTTTTTTTTTAAATTAGAATTTTTAAAAAAGTGGAAAGAACTCTAATTGCTCGAGAACGATTAGTCTACTTATGTACTTGCCCAGATATATATAAGAAAACTGTTATAGATAGTTATTCTGCCAACTGGTCAACTATGATAGTTGAAAACCAACGGGAAAGTTATCTTCATTGGTCATGTGATCGATTCATGTGAAGCCTAAAGGGCTTTTCGGTAGATTTGATTACTACTAACAGAATTTATATTATCTCACTTATCTAATAAGATTTGACATAATTTTTTTTCATACATTATGTCAGAAGCGCGTGAATTTGTTTATCTACATTACCTACATTACCTGCAGTCAGTGGAAGAGATAGCTAGACTATGTGTTCATGAGGTTTTTTTTTCACCCGAATTCTTTCTGTGCCTTTGGTGAGTTTTTTATTGTACTTGGAAAACTGAGCTTCAAAAGTATAATTTATTCTCACAAATAACTGTGTTTATATAATGACGAATCTCTTAACTAACCCTTGCTACTATACAGACCTTTATCAAACAATAATTAGATAGCTGAAATATTAAATTATTTTGAGGGTCTTGATGCACAAAACTAATGCCGGTGAAAACTTGCTCTACTTTAAAGGTACATGTATCTCTGTTCGTTGAGTGACGTTTCTCATTCAAGTTGTTAAGTTACATGTATCTATAGACTGTGACTTCTTAAAATGTGTGTACCATAGAATGAATGTTTAGTATAAAAGTATATGTAAAAGAGAGGAAATCGGATCTGCCAATAAATGTGTAAATGCGATATGCAGATTTAAAAGCGCGATTTGCCAATGAATGGCATATTTTATTCCAAATAGGGCGAATTATTCTAGGGCAAGTTACCTAAGGTGCGAACTCTTAGCATTCGCGCGCATACGTAGCCTGTCGTTTGCCCAGGGCATCCGGTTTAACTTCGCTTATATATTTACTGCGTGGACCGCAGGGTCCACGAAATTATTTTTGTTTTGTCATTTTAAAGGTTTATAAATCTTATTAAAAATTTTACATATACTAATATTCAGATTTTCCTTACGTATGTAGCCACAACACCCTCATTAACTGTTTACAAGATTTATATCTCTAAGCCAGAGAATTAACTACGCATCTTCAATTTCTAAAACGAAGTAAGTTACTGACAAACAAGTAAAAGGAGG